GCAATTTTAGGGGGTGTTTTTTGAGGTTAGGGAGGAACGCTTGAGGTATCGGTAAAAAATACCACCACATTCGTGTTCATCAGCACAAAATACATGAAAATAGTTGTTGTTTGGAATTTTTCTGAGCCCCTGTGATTTCTGACAGCTTGATCATTTCGTAAAGCAGTATTTTTTTAAGGTTAGGGAACGCGTAGCTCCGTCTGGGAACAAAATTTTAAAAAACGCCACTCAGCAATCGAAAGTACATAAAAAATGCTAAATTTCCCTTGTATTTAAAAATTTTTGGATCAAAAGTAATTTTGGGCAGAGCTTTGTCACGTTTGACGCGGAACGTCCCATATATATATATAATATGGGCGTGGCACATCCCAAAGGTGTGGAATTTTTTATCAGCTATAGCTTCGGAACCATAAGTCACATAAACGTGAAACTTGGTATATAGGTGCTTATAGTAAGGTATACATAAATGAGTTTGTAAAAGGGGGCGTGTCACATCTCATAGGCGTGCAGTTTTTAATCAGCCATAACTTCTGAACGATAGGTCACATGAACTTGAATTTGGTATGCAGACATATCAATGGTACGCAGGTGCTTATAGTAAGGTATGTTATATAGATGAGTCTGTAAAACGGGGCGTAGCGCATAACACAGGCGTTGAATTTTGTATCAACCATAACTTCGGAACCAGAATTTACATGTCCCCTTTAATTCTTTCTGATATGCCTTTCCTACTTACAGGACTCAGTTTCCAGTTCGCTTAGCATTTGCAATGGCAATAAACAATAATTCCTTAAAGCAAAACCCAAAATTTATCGAAAATAAAATCATGATAATTGCATTGGAAAATACATTTATGTTAATATAGGCTTTGAAGTATTAAAAAACTGCTTTGAAATAATATTAAAGTTATTATGCCAAAGAAATTAGATAGCTAAAATTTTAATATTACAACATTGGTATTTCAACTATTACTTACTTACATATCGTCGTTTAAAGTACAAAACCGCTTATCGTCATTCTGCAAAACCGCGTATCTGGCATTTGCTGCCAAAAATTGGATTTGCTCACACATCCTTCTGGCTCAATTCTTATCCATTCGTCCTGAAATATACCTGCCAGAAATACGATTGTTTTATAAAAAAGAAAACCATTTTGAAATATGAGTATTTTTACTATCTAGGAAATAATTTATGCAACCTCACTTACGCGGTTTTACATTATCTTGATACGCGGTTTCGCATTTTTTTGATACGCGGGTTTGTACTTTAAACGACGATATATTATTTATTGGAGATATTTTAATGTAAATAAATAAAAACACCTGCTGTGCCAAAAAGTTATTATTACATTTCATTACATAACTCCAAGCTGTCCTTCCATATTCTCCTATAGCAAAATTAGAGAATAAATGAAAAATAACATCGTTAAATAAAGTATTTTTCATATTTGTATGAAGACGTGGGGAAACCCGCGGGTAAAAGCTAGTTTATTATAAAACTCTAAAGGCATGTCAATTTATATGAGGTAGGTATTTATTAGTTATAGTCTTTGTGATCTTTGATTTTAGCTATTTCATTCATTTATACATCCGGTGATTACCAATAATATTGGTCTGTCATCTGTCTCCATTAAAAATATCTTCTTAGGTGTTATTTTTCTCATCACACGTTAAATAGGGAACAAAAGTATAAATTGAGTTCCAATGACGCCTTAATTGAGGGAAATGGTGTTGAAGCTCAGCAAAATCGATGTTAAGGATGTTTTGCATAATAGTTATTTTATTTTACAGCGGTACCTACTTGTTCTACGAAGATGGAGATGTGCATATGCCTCGGTTGAAGGAGCGCGTGTGGATTCTAAATAAATTCCATTTTGACGATGTAGCAAAAGCAATGCTAACTCTGTTCACTGTGTCAACGTTTGAAGGATGGCCTGCGTAAGTCTTGTTTCTTTAATACGTACCTACATATATTAAAGTATTTTTTTACATCACGGAGATCTTCTATTCAAATTTAAATTATATATATTAGAGAGCTCCAAAAATTTTCTTGAGCGAAATTCTATTTATACGCATAGTCCCAACTTTTTTTTCCATTTCACCAAAATAACATATATACATGTATATATAAAGTTTTATTCTTGAAGTTGAAGTTTTGGTTCCACAGTTATATCGAAGTTTCCATAAGAAACCTCAATCAATAATCTCAAACGAAAAATGTGATGCTCAATCGCAGCAAATCTACATTTTTAGTTTTTCAGTATCTTATCCAATCTTAAGGCTACATATTTATAATTTAAAGGGCGTGATTCGAAACCGATAATTTAGAGTATTTTATAATTTTTTCGCATTCTTGTCTGAACGTTGTACAGACTGGCCTTAAGAAATATTCAACAAGAGACAACCACTACTTTTACCAACTCTCCCCCGTCAATGCCGTCATTGTAGTTAAACCATCTCCTAGTGCATACCAAGAGGTTTATTTGCATCGAGAAACCCGCGTGCCTCTGACGAAATTAAGGTCTGGTTACTTTAACGGATTAAACTCTTACTTATTCAGGCTCTGCCCCAAAATACCCAATATATGTATACATACATATGTCCAGCTAGAATAGCTCGTCTTAAAGTTATTGTAGAACGATATAATGGACCAAGGTATGAAGTCTCGTTTTTCTAAAACATAAACTTTAGCTATGCTAAGGCAATTTGGGCCTGAAAGACTACAAATGAAAGACTAGTCACCTTAGAAGCAATTGTTGGAAATAAAGAGCGACCACAAGATGGATGTTATCTTGAAGTCAGTTCAGAAAAGTAGTTAATCACACAACTTGCCCAGCTTTCTCAATTAAGGAGCTCGTTATTTTGCCTAGGATATCTGCGCTTAAAAAATTTTGCGCTTCTTTTTATGCATACCTAAAGGATGGGTCTTTATTAAGTAATCTAAAAAGTAAATTTCTAGAGAGGTATCTTAGAAATAAATAAAGTAAATGCGCGTTAATCCAGGTCGCAAGATAAAGACGGATTCTCTAAATATTTCGACTCCAGCGCCATTTGTCTGCACCATTTTTTACAAAAGTATATTTTATGATGCAGAGTATTGTTTTTAAATTCATAAAAGCTGCCCTTTTAGCTTTAAAAATCTGCAAGTATATGCGAAAGTATTAAGCTGCGCTGACGAAGTCGCGGGTATCAGATTGTTATATTATAAAAACAAAAATCATACAATTAGTGAGATCATTAGTTTTAAACTACATAAAGATGAAAACAAAATGAGAAATAACAAAATTCAAGCTTCGCGTTAAAAAAGAGTTGCTTTCACTAAATATGAAACTTATCGAAGACTTATGTCGAATTTCCAATAGTCATTAAATATAACGACGCCTGCGCCCCTTATCGGCTAAATTTTTTGTGGAATTATTTCTCTCCATGTAAGTAATATACTACATATTCCAATTCGGGCCATATATATGGGCTTTTAAAATATCGATCGGCACGGCACAGTGTGGTTTCCATTAAAAAAGTGGGTAAAAATAGAATTATGGACGGATTTAAATGAAAATCTGTTTCTTAGTAAACTTGAGGACACCTAATTCAAAAATTAAATTTGTGTTTTAATAAATTTCATACGATTACTGTAAATGTAGTTTGAAATTGAAAATTTGGGTTTTGTAGCATTTACTATACTTACATAGATATATACAGTACCTCCTACGATTTTGAAAAGTGAGGTCTTAAATTACAGGGCTTGGCCTGTAGATGTGCAATCGAGTTTATTTTTTTTGAAACGGGTTGCCCCCTTTCACTGATCAAAGCTCGCAAGCGCGACCGATTGCCAACGTTTTGCGATGAGATTTCACCATCGTAGGAGCTGCAGGCTATCACCGCCCTTACATATGTATCCCTCTCCACTTCCGCGAAGGATCTTCTCGCTGCTCATGCGACTTTAGATTGAAGGATAGCTTTGTTTATTTGGGCTCCGAGTATTCCTCCCTTGAACGCTTTCGCTCGCCCTGTGCGGGTTCCGCTCTCGCTTTCGTCCGATTTTCAGCTATAAACTTCCTGGCCCAATTTTTTGATTCCAGCTCTTCTCAGGTCAGATATTAAGGCTTTTTGTCCCTCAGTCTTTCCAGCATCTCTAAGGCTGATCGTCTGGTACGATAGTACCGTTCCGATAATGTTTTTCTGGGGACGCCTACTGCCCAGGGTGACATTAGTGCCAGAATAGTGTGCATAGGTGGCCGTTGGCTTACCCATGCAGTCCGATGTCGCCGTCGCTTCTTTTGGTGTTGCAACTATCGGTGCTTCCTTGCATCTTGGAGCGGCAGGAACCGCGGTAGGGTTAGCTTGTCTTTTGACAAGGTTACCCTTGCCTCCCTAAGTTTTATCTGCGAGGGTGGGTCTGTTTCCGGCTCCGGGCGGTTCAACTTCCTCACTAACTCGTCTGGAACAGGGTTAGACTGGTTGCCAGAAAGGGCCACGATGCCGTTAAAGTAGTGGATTTTTGGGGTTCTCGGATATACAAGCCAGGTTTTTTATTTGAAATAATTGTCCCATAAATATTCGCACTGCTCGACGTGGCGAGCGTGACAGGCTACATAAGGGAAATATAGGGTGATATGGGAGTTAAGGGTTGTGAGGAAGAACATAGTATCGTCGGTCCGGTTCTCTCCGCATGTATGATTGGAGCATCACCATGCCCGCGGTTGCATAGTTGGTTAGTCAACCAAGCTCCATACGAAGCTTCCCTACTCGTTCGTGGCGGGTTATATGCCCGAAGTAAGATGTAAAGTACCACTTAGACGTCTAAGTAAAAGTAGTCCCATGAGGTGTATGCTCGATCCTGGCCTGGCCACATACTTTATATTGCTGGGTTGTTTGTCCGAGGAGCGGATTTTTGGGTTTTTCGGATATACAAGGCAGGTTTTTTATTTGAAATAATATTCCCATAAATATTCGCACTGCTCTAAGTTGGGAGCGTGGCAGGCTACATAAGGGAAAGATAGGTTGATATGGGAGTTAAGGGTTGTGAGGAAGAACATAGTATCGTCGGTCCGGTTCTCTCCGCATGTATGATTGGAGCATCACCATGCCCGCGGTTGCATAGTTGGTTAGTCAACCAAGCTCCATACGAAGCTTCCCTACTCGTTCGTGGCGGGTTATATGCCCCGAAGTAAGATGTAACCTACCACTTAGACGTCATCTCCAGGCGGAATACCTACATCAATTGTTATGCGATGAGTTTTGCCACTACGGCGGTGAGTTTTTTCGCACCGAGTGGTTATCTCAGTACAAGTTCTGAATCGAAACTTCAACTTCAAGTCGGCATGGGTTACCTTCAACTTACAGCAATAAAACTTTGCATACATGCTATCTTGGGCAAAAAGAAAGAAATTGTGGGTATTCATATCGAATTTCTCTTCGACTCTGGGACGCCCGAATATACATACAGTGCCGAACAGAAGTATTGGCACAGTGAATTTTTCGCAATAAATGCAAAGTTTTTTATTCTAATTTATTTTCGATAATTTTTTATAAAAAAAAAGTTCCAGAAAACATAATAATAAATTCTCTAAACTTTGTGCAAAACTCAGGAAAATTCATTAAATTTGTACACTAATTTGCAACTTTTTCTTCAGATTTTTTAGAAAAATTCTAAGTATGCAATTTTATAGCCCACTCAAATTTAGTATAACAAAGTGCAAGTTTGAAGTCGCGAGAAAATCGCGTTGATTTTTGGTAATGTTTTTCAGGCAAGTTCTTCCATATAAAGTACATTCGAGCAACGCCTTTCAGCAACCAAAATCAACGCGATTTTCTAGCAACTTTAAACTTCCATTTTGTCATACTAAAATTGAATGTTAGAATAAAAATCTTTGCATATATTGCGAAAAATTCACTGTGCCAATACTTTTGTTCGTCACTGTACATATGGGCCTTCAAATGGGGGCCCCGGATTTTTTGCAATGTTCAATATGCATACTCTTATATTTTTTCCTTTTTTTGCTAGATGATGTGTGTATATATAAGGATTTTTGTCTAAGTAATTAAGTAGCTCAAACTGCATTCATAAGTGCCGTTTCTTAGGTTTTAGACTCTTCAATAAATATTTTGCTTCCACAATTTTCTCTGAATTCGAACTACAGATGTTCGACGAAGCTTCTTTTCTGTAATTTCTGTCCGAAGGAATAAAACTGGATGTAGCGCTATAATTTCGTACGCTGAAGTGAACGACTAAACACAAATTCACTGCTGGTTTCCTACCATGTGAAGTTTCTATTAAAACTCTCACAAAAAAAGAACGCATTATTTTCCTTTCTCCATCGTTCTTACATGCCACCTTTTGTAAGTGAGTGCCAAACGTCGGCTTATTTATCAAACATTTGTTTGTTGGTGATTGAAAGTAGATTTGAGATGTCATTTATTCCTGCCGAACGTGCGTCGATCCAAGCTAAAACATTCATTTCCTAAAGCAGATAACGAGAAAGAAAAAAATGGTAAAAGAATTCAGGAAATAAATGAAAAGATTGTTTGTTCCTTAAAAAAAATAATCATTCTTGAGACGGGGTTCCTGGCGGCCGCCACGTCTGGCACCCGTATGATCCGCCCCTGTTTTTTCTCCGATTCTTATTTTAATACTCTAATGAATTTTAAATTAATTATTTTATTATCGTACACATAAATTTCAAAAATCAATTTATGTAAATATACTTATGAGTAATTTAATTATTGCAGGCTTTTATATGTATCTATTGATTCAAATAAAGAAGATGGTGGGCCTATACACAATTTCCGTCCTATTGTGGCTGCATATTATATAATTTACATAATTGTGATTGCTTTCTTCATGGTAAATATCTTCGTCGGCTTCGTGATTGTTACATTTCAGAATGAAGGCGAACAAGAATACAAAAATTGTGATTTGGACAAAAACCAAAGAAACTGTATAGAATTCGCACTTAAAGCGAAACCAGTACGGCGGTACATACCAAAACACGGTATACAATACAAAGTATGGTGGTTCGTCACGTCCTCATCGTTCGAATATACGATATTCATTTTGATTATGATCAATACTGTGACTCTTGCAATGAAGTACCATAATCAGCCGCCATGGTATACAGAATTGTTAGATGCCCTAAATATGATTTTTACGGCGGTTTTCGCGTTGGAATTCGTATTCAAGTTGGCTGCTTTCCGTTTTAAGGTAAGATCCGAGAGTAAGCAATGTTTAAATATGGAGCCGGCAACTCATAACTTGAAAAATTAAATATTATATACTAGAGGATTGCTTTAAAAATACTAATTTAAACGAAAAAATACATAAGCACGTACTTAATATCTTCATAGAAGAAAAGTTCCACGAGCCACATAAATTTAATTTTGAGTCGTATATTAAATTGAAACTTTAACATGAAAAAAGTTACTCATACGCCATGTATATAAATTATGCCAAATTTTTTTTGACCATTCAAAAGTTGTTTATTTATCCATCAATTTTCATCATTAGCAGGGACCGAGAACAAAAGGTATGACCGAAACTAAATGTCGTTCTCGTAGTTTTGTTCATTCAAAACTAAACCCGAAATGAGAACAAAACTATCAAGGATGTTCTCAACGGGAATTATATTGGAAAGTTCCCGAAGAGAACAAATGCGAACGATACTTTCGAGATTAGTTCGAAGAGAAAAAAAATGGGAATAAAAGTCCCCGGAAAGTTTTGGTAAGGAAAAAAACGGGAACAAAAGTCTAAGGAAATTTCTCTCGAAGAACAATCTGGGAACTAAAGTTAATGCCAAAAGTAGTCAAGTGCATGTACGTATGAGTGTATTCGTTCTCCCACTCCTTTTTATTTCTGCATTCCACATCACTTTCTCTTTATCATGTTATAAATTTTGCAATGGAGTATGAATGATTATCTTAATAAATACCTCGAACTCAAAAGTTCTTATTAAATGTTATTCCTTGTTTATAATTCTTTTACTGAAACCCACCCTCAATTTTCCACTCTCGAAAATTATATAAGCCATTTCTGCAATCTACCTCAGATTACAAGTAAAATAAAATATTCAGCACAAGCTATCACATATTCATCCACGTTAAATTTTCCCGGCCTCTGATACATCACAACTTCTGCACTAATTCAATATTCAATCCATCGTTGGAGGCGACTTTAACGCCTGAATCACTGTCTGGGATCTGATTATACGAACGCTAGAGGACAAAAAACCTAAGATCCATTAATATATATTATCCAACTTATGGACTCACCATGCCTTGTTGACATAACACATTACTCTATAAACATAGCCTCGAACTGCCAGTAAAAAGTCCATTGCATTGCATGGAAGCCACCACGTCCCTATTATAATGCAAATAAACTCAGTCTGCAATGAGTTCTCAGTCAAATTTTCTTCGAGATTCCAGGGACCGAAAATAACTGTTATTTAAAAAATTTTTAACTAAAAAATCATTACGAGAAAGCTTTCACACACATAGACTTAATTTTTTTAGCATTTTCCAAATTCGTTTTGATTGTAAATTTTGACCCAAAAGCTAGGAAGTAGCAGTTATTTTTTAACCAATACAATTCACATCAACTTAATGTGTTATTTTATGACTTTTATTTTTTGAACCAGAAATAAAAGTGCTATTATGACAGATATTTTTTCTGCTTTTCGAAACAGTTATACTTAGACTTTTATTTTTTCTGTCCTAAAATAAAAGTCCATATTGACTTTAATTTAATTTAATTATCGTTGAAAAAAGTTACCTTATGACTTTTATGTGTAGGAAAACATAATGAAAGTTCTTTATTTTAATTTCTATTTTAAAATATTTTCTGTAGAGTTTTAGGCTAGTGGAGCAGTCTATAGAGAGTTCATAGTTTTATGTCACATCTTCTGGCCAATTCATTGTGCATGCCAAATTTTGTGTCTGGTTTAATTTTTGTTTTTTTCATAAATAAAAAAACACAATATTAAAAAAAAATATCATGTGGGTTTAGCTTATTTCGTTTTCAACGAACGTATTTTTAAATAGTTAAATAAAGCCTGTGAATTTGACATACATGACCCTGTAGTACGGGGGCGCGACTACAGGACTGATAAATCGGTAGCTACCTAGTAAACTCCGTCAATTACCGACCGACTACTTGCAGCGTATTTCATCGATTACTTTTACAAGGCAATGTCCTAGGCGGTAGTCACCATCGGCTCTCTCTGCACTACCGGGAGTTACTAAAGTAGACACTTGCGTGATTTATTGGCGCCCTCTGTCGTAGTTTTTCGCTATTCTGCTTCCGACTTGTTCGACTCTGCACTACCATGTGCACTACCACGGGTTAATAGAGTAACCACTTTTACCACTTTTACCACTACCCGTGCAGGGAAAGCTACCAGTTGTGAACCAGAATGCTACCAGTTTGTGATTCAGCCCAACTAGTTCACGTTGTATCATTTTTCAATGTTAGCGACTGGTATTTTTAACATGGCGGTGTCATAGGATATGTCAATTGTCCGCTCCTGCATCAGCACGCTACCAGTAGAAATACTAGTAAAATCATACCAGTTGACGGGATAGACTGCCTATTCATCCTCCGTGAAAAGCACAAGTATGCCTACTTGATCGCGGCGCTGCAACAGGAGCAAAGGTCGACAGAGTAAAGCTTTGGAACGCCAGATCAAGAGATCCGAGTCCGAATCTCAGTGAGCGAATCTTTTTTTATTTTAATTTTTTTGTTATATTTCTTGTTATAACTTTTAAATTTGTTGTTTTAAAAAGAACAAAAAAGTATTTCTTTTAATTTTTTATGGTATTTGAGTATTTGGTTTTTTCCAAATGAAATTAAATTTGTGTACAATTTTTATTTTATATTTAAATTAATTTACGTACTTTACTTTAACAACCTCCACGCGCACTCGAGCCTGAGATCTCAGAACCAGATCGGTAGTTTTCACTCGACGCCACAGCCGACATTTGTGATGAAAGCAAGTAAGTTAGTTTTAGTCATGGCTGTTCAAAGACAGATGTCGCTGATCGCATAAGTTGTTCGAAATCGTCTGAAATGGTAGGTCGTCACTTTAGCGCATACTAGTTAATGAACTAGCTTTTATACTGGCTGGTTTGGCATTTCACTGCTGAGAACTGGTATAATTTAGTCCATGACTAACTGGTATGCCTTCCCCATTTAATACCAGTTTTCGAACTAGAATTTCTACCAACTAGTTTACTTTTTTCTATGAGGAACTAGTATAATTATGGTTCATAACGAACTGGTATGACTTTTATCCTTAAAAAATAGTTCGTGAACTGGAATTTGTGCATATTGTGCTGTATTAATATTAGTAAATTGCGCAAACTATTATTTTAGCGACGAGCTCCACATAAAATGGTAACTTATTGAAATAGGTACTTATACATTACGTGCCTCTGTATCTAATAAAAGCGACAATAGTCGGTGTTCTTCTCTTTCGTATGAACACATTGTTATCTTATACTGCAAAGACTTTGCTTTCTTATTTAGACTAACTACAATTTCAAAATTATTAAAATTTTAATTGGTATTTTAGAAAGCACTGAAACCACGCAAAGAAAAGTATACCTTTGTATAATAGCCTGTAAGAACCAAAATATCGTTATTTTTCTATTTTCGTTTGCAAAAAAAATTCCCACCTTAATTACTAACTATGGGTGTTAAGCACCCAGAAAAGTCACAACGCTACTACTATAATGGGTATATTACGCGCAAGTCGAATAAAAACAAAAACAATGCTGTGGGCACTGAAGTGATTGTTGATAAAGTAACTGCTGCTAAAAGTGTTGTTAGTGCAACGAACACTACATCTGGTCCTGCTGTTGAAGCTGCTACTCTCGCTAGTGCTCACACTTATGCTGGTGCTGCTAGTTTGTCTTGCGATCATTCGCTTTTGGCGCCTCGTTCTTCACAAATGGCGTCGACGTCGGCCGCCGCTGTTACTGCTTCTGTGTCGAATGCCTCTGCCGAGAACGAAGTAAATGCACCCAGTGGGAATGCTGGCGTAAACGTAGTTAATGCACCCAGTGGGAATGCTGTCGTAAATTCAATTAGAAATCTGAGCAATCCTATTGTGGTTGGTTCGAGTGATAACCTTGAACTTCAGGTTGCTCCTAAAATGATGTGGCTGCATCTGTCGTCTTTTTCCTCAAACGTGACGAATGCTGATATTATCGCCTATGTTTCGAAGCACGCTGAAATCAACCCTAAGTTTGTGGTGTGCTATGCCCTCGTTAAGCGGGATGTTGATATTCAAGAGTTGGTTAAAGTTAGTTTTAAACTTGGCGTGCCGCTCTCCTTCTACGATAAGGTAGTTAACGCCAGCATCTGGCCTACGAATGTTCAGATACGGCCGTTTCGTTCTTTTCGCAAGGGCGGGCCACCTCAACACGGGATTTAGTAAATACACATTCTCACAAAGGTCTTAAAATTTACTTTCAAAATGTATCAGGCCTAAGAACCAAATCCGACTCACTCTTTATGATGAGTTCAAACCTGGATTATGATATCTTTGTAATAGTTGAGACTTGGCTTAATGATACCTTTATGGATGGTGAATTCTTCGATGAAAATTTATATTGCGTTTTTCGTAAAGATCGCGACGCATTAAAAACTGGTCTGTCTAGAGGAGGAGGCGTTTTAATTGCGGTTCGACGAAAATTTCGTGCGACTTTGGTGCCTATGCCGAATACTGATTCCCTATTGGATATTCTCTGCATTTCTGTTCATGGAGTCTCTAAACTTTTAATTTGTGCTTCTTATATACCTCCTTCTAGTAGCGACTTACTTTATAAAGAGCATGTTGATAATATTTTAGCCTTAGCATCTAGTCATGAAAATGTTTGCGTAATTGGCGACTTCAACCTCAGTAATTTAGAGTGGTCTACTTTTGACAATAGTAGGGGGCTTCTTCCAAAGTCTTCAAATTCGTTTGCTGAAACATATTTGTGTGACGGGTTTTCAAGATGTGACCTTAGTCAGATCAACAGTTTTAATAACAGTCTTCATAGAATATTGGATCTCGTATTTTTAAGTGATAACATGAATTTTTGCCTCCAGGAATGTTTAGACCCTTTGTCCAATCCTGGTCCGCATCATGTTCCGCTGGTTCTTCATTTGGAATTTTATGAGTTTAATACTTACGTAGAGGATACAATTTCCAAGTTTTGTTT